AAAAAAAACAAAAAAAACACTCCCTCCCAGTATAAGCAGGAAAAAGTAAGTGAACCTCTATGACACAGATTTCTCCAGAAGTACTTTAAGTCACGTGATCCAAGTCAGTCTATGAACAATATCTAGGAGGAATATAGAGGTTTAGGAGGACTAGAGGTGGACAAAGCTGGAAAATACTACTAAAGCATGGATGAAAAAACAATTTGGCTTAAATTAAACAGAAAAAGTATGGTGAAGAGAGCATCATGGTTTGGGAATGCTTTGCTGCCTGAGGGTCTGCAGGCTGAGGTTCAATGACGTAACAAGGCAATGGAGACAGACTAATTGAAAAAGAGGACAAGGTTTTTCAGGTTTTTGAAAATGCTTCAACCTTTTCAGATGTTTGCTCTTCTTCTTGCACCTTGGGTGAAGTTGTCTCAGAAACCTTTACCCTGTTTCCCCACCTTTTTCAAAGATCAGGTGAGAATCTGACTTAACCCAGATAAGATGTTGTAGCACAGCCCAATGCAGGCTGTTCAAGATCTTCCAGAAATCCTGATGAACTTCCGAAGAAACTGTCCAAAATTCCTCAATGTTGTGCAAATCTCATAAGAAGCTACAGGAAACACCTGCTAGAAACTATGGTTGGTAAAGGAAGTTCAATAACATTAAAGAGTTCACTTATTCCCCCCCCCAAAACCTGAAGTAAGTGCTAACTCGGTGTCAACGAAAAATACAACAGTTTGTGTATTTTTGTTGCATTTGTGGAGAGTCATTGTGTTGGTCTATACCTGTGACTGAAATCATTATCGGACCACATTTTATAGCTTAACCAATGCAGAAATCCAAAGCTTTCCACGGTTCTTCTTCCAGGTTTACAGCACTAACAGACTGACTCAGGAATTATAAAGGGATTCAGGGATGCTCTAAACATCAAGATTTGATCAGGAATACACTGGCCTTAAATACTACAACTACTTTAAAACTGTGATGAAGATTAATAGCGATAAAGCTAAAGATTGTGCTTATGTGATCACGAACTGATATTTAAATATAAAAAGCTAACAAAATAAGAAACACTTGTACTTTTGAAACTACAAGGTACAACCACAGTAAGCCAAGAAAAGCCACAGTGCTGCACGTTTTATCTAAATGATGCTGTGTGCTACAGTTTACTGCAGGGGGAGAAACAACAGCAGACTGAGTGCAGCTACGTGAATGCTCTAGATGCTCTTCATCAGCTCTAAAAGTAAAACGACAACATTGTAACATCACTGTTACTTTACCCTGGGTAAACTTTATACCAGGTTTACTTTACCAAATAAGTAAATAGTAACTTAATAACTTCCAATTTGGTTTAGTTTTAGCAAGCTAAAACTGTATAAATCTCAAATGTCTCCCATTAAATCATCAGTTGAGTGTAACAGTATAAGGTGAGGTGTTCTGTGAAAAATAGCAGAACAAAAAATCCACATGTGCTAAAGTATGTTCCCCCAAACAGCTGGAAATCATCCAAAAACATTCATTGCAGTAAACACAGTATATATGACAAAGCAAGGCACACACATACAATTTCAGTTAGTCACTGTGTATTATCAAAGGGATTAAAAACAAAACAAAACAAAACAAAAACAAAAAAAAACACCATCATCAATTATATCATGCTTTTTCTTCAAACATGCTTGTTAGTAACATTAGACCGGCTTTAACTTTAATTTATAAATTAGGTGGGGAAAGTGACCTTGGTGTTAAACCAAAACACACACACACACAAAAAGGAAAAAAAACAAAACAGAAATCTCTGGTTTACATTCAGACTCTGAAAATTGAACATGCTGGCCATAACAGAGGGTGGACCAGCAGGGTGTCACAGCAGCCTTATCGTACCACAGAGCATTCCTATTCAGGTGGTTCGGCCGTGATTACTAAACACAGGCTGGGCCTCCACACCAGAGAGCGTTCGCACTGTGCAGGAGAAGTGCTCTGCTGACCGCTGTGCCCCCGCCCCTTCTAGTCCGGCCCTCGATGTTAGTGATCTTACGGGTGGAGCGCGGTGGGTACCTTTTTCTGCATGAGCCTCAGCTCATCGCTCAGACTGTTGTTTGCTTTCATGAGTTGCTGGATCTTTGCTTCAGAGGCAGAGAGGGCGGTTTTCACCTCCAGGTATTCTTGCATAGTGATGGGTCCGTCTGAGAGGTCCGAGTCCAGGCTCTGTTAAAGACATGCCAAACAAAACAAAGAGGTGAATGATGCAAAAGAGATTTCATTCAGGGTTTTAGTTTGTGAAAATACTGTCTGGGTACCTTGGTCCTGTCTCCTTTGCTTGATGGGAGCTCTTGATCTGTATCCTCATCAGATGCCACACTATCATAGTCAGGCTGGTCATTGTCCTGGCTATCACTACAGTGTCTGACGGCCACGTTCTTCATGATAAGTTCAACGTTGTCTAGGACAAACAAGAAAAAAAACAACTTGTTTTGTTACTCTGTATCTTCATGAGACTCGGGTGTCGGGGGGATTTTTGAAGAAAGTAACAAGAAGACACCGACCTTTGGGACTGACTATCGGATTCCCTTGCTGTCTGCGCTTTGCTTCACTTAATATGTCAATGACCAAAGTTGCAAATTCATGTGCATTAAATCTTGCAAGCTTTTGTCGCCCCTAAATAACACACAGAAAGAAAGAAAAAAAACCACAAAGAAATTACACAAACAATGCACAACCTTTAAGGTAACAACAGAGAGAAAACCAACACAACCACGTTTGCAGGGGTGTTCTGCACAGCTGACTTGCCTGGTTTCGTGTCGATGAATACTCCGGATTCACAGGAAGGAAAGGAACCACAGTTGTCTCTGTGACCAGCGTGCTGTGATTCTGTGTTGCCAACCACACTGCAGAGAATGAGCAGAGTGCTGTTTAAGGCACGAGTACAGCTGCAATGCTAGTGGAGGTGTTGAAGAGTGCGTGTGAATACCACTATAGATGCATTTGAGTCCTCTGGTAAGGGGTAAAACTCTACCTGCATCAGTCTCTCGCCTGTCCACTTCATCATACACGTCCATGGCCAGCTCCTCAAATAAATGATTACTGAGCTACATTAAATAGAAAAGAAAGAAAAACCACACCTGAGCAAACTTCAGGGGAGAATATTTAAAATGAAACACAGTGAAAACACTTACAGATTGCAGTTTCTTTTTCGCTGCCTTTGCAAGTTCCGATAAATCTGCACTGCTGCAAACAGAAAATTGTGTTTGTGAACATTTGTTAATAAATTCGTAGGTCTGTAGGTCTATTGCTACTATAATGCAGTTTATTTTCAGTAATACTTACATGTTCCTGATCCCAATAAATGAAAGCAGTTAAAACAGATCGCATGTGTCATTTCCTGTGCAAAAGTATTTTTCTGCTCTTTTTCTGCTTTGAAATTAGAGCTAATAATGAAAACTTCCCTCAGTCTGTTTAAAAGACTGCAGCAAGCTTAACTTCATGTCAGAACAAGACTCACAACTAAAACAACCATCACTAAATGCCTCACTGCATTCACTCTGCTGGCTCAGTTCAACTTAAACTCATTCACCCAGGCGCATGTTAATTGGTAGACATGCATCATACTGACGTACAGCTTCTGCTTTCTTACCTGTCGGCCATTTGTGGAACGATGAAGTGCTGGCCGCTTTTATGATCTGAAAGGAACAACGCGAAAGTTCTGGATAAGTGCCAAAATCCTTCGGGGCAATTACAGGAACTGTATTCACTTTCTGTTAATCACCATTTAAAATCTGTATTTAGCTCATAAGCAAATTTGATCAGCTGTAGAGCCACATCACTAAAACAACTACAGCACTGTGTAAAAGTCTCAAGCCACCCCTTATTTTTTATACTTTCAAAGTAAAAGAAGAAATAAGTGCAGCTATTATATAGTATTAATGCAAAAAAAGAATTCTATTGAGCTTGAAAGTTAAAGAATAAAGGGCCTATCACCACCTTTATTCTTTAACACAGCCTCTTAGGCAGCTTTCTTGTCATTTCTTGAAGTAGTCTTCAGGAATAGTTCTCGAGGGTCGTTGCAGGACACTCAAAGCTCTTCTTTGGATGTTGGCTGCCTTTTGTTCTGTTCTCTAACAGGATGATCACACACTCCTTCAATAATGTTGATGTCGGGGCTCTGGGGAGGCCAGTCCAAGACTTAGCATTCCATTGTGTGTTTTTCAATCCAGGTCTGCTTTTATTGCATTGCAATGTGTTTGGGATCATTGTCATAATGAAAAATGAAGCTGATGCCAATAGGATGTTTTCCAGATGGCACTGCATCTGATATTAATGTTTTGCTTTCATGAGTCCATCAATTTTGATGCCTAACTAACTAAAATAGAGCCCCAAACCACGACAGAGCCTCCACCTTGTTTCAAGCTCTAGACACTCACTTTTGTACCTCTCTCCTGACCTCCTCTGTATATATCAAAGATGCTTTGAACCAAAACGTTCACATTTGATTGACACTATAACCGTTCTCACTGATTTTCAGTCCTGTTCTTGTGGAATTTTGCCTCGGCCTTTTCTCCCAGTTCAGTGAACAGTAGATGGATCAACTCAAGGGCAGGATGGATCTCTCAGGTCCTGTATCCGGTCTGTGCTGGATTGTTTCACATTTCTTGAGGATATGACTTTTAGATACTGTTCGTCTGCTGTTTTTAGGTCTCCCACTTCTTCTTTTGCCCTCCACTAGTCCAGTTTTCTCAAAATTATTAAGTCCACACTGCACAGCATGCTCGGATATGCCAAGCTTTCAGCCAGAAGCTCTTAGAATCACTTTGTTGGTGCAAAAATACTATTTTATTTTTACAAAAACATCAAGAGTTCTTGCACATTACTGTTCACCCAGCAGCAGCAAATGCTGCTTTTTCAGCTTTTTTTAAATTTTTTATTTTAAATGACACATTTCCGCTTACCTGGTTTTCGTCCACACAAGTAAAACGCCAGTCGATCGGTTAGTTCATACTGAATTTCCACCAGCCTGTCTGCCAGGTCGTTGTGGCCAGCTTCTCTACAAAACCATATTTAAAAAGTCAAATTAAGCTTAATATTTTGTCTTATATATAAACAATTATTTTAAATAATAAACACGTAGGCTTGCCTTGCACAGTCAATGGGAGTTTTGCCTCTGCTGTCTGGAGCACCAGGATCTGCCCCATAAACGGTCAACAGTTCAACCTGAGATACTTGCCCAGCCTTTGCAGCTACATGCAAAGGAGTGCTTCCCTTTTCCTGCCCAAGACAATGATCAACATAACAAAAGCCAGAACATGAGCCAGAATTTGACAGAAAAAAAAAAAAAAACACATGCAAAAACACGGAAATGATACTTTTAAATACAGAAGGTCTTACAGGATGAAAGAAATTTGCTTGAGCTCCGAGTGTCAGCAGCCTCAAACAAGTCTCCAGATTACCAGTGCGTACGCTTGAGTGAAGTTGCTGGGGGGAAAAAAAAAAGAAATAAAAAAATTTAACTGTGACTTTAAAAAGCACAACAATAGAGCTTTGTTCAAAAACGTGCTTCCTTTCTTTCCCCCGTGGATCACTGTACCCAACCATTTCTCCTCACCTTGCTTAAATCCTTGGCTGTTGAGCTGTCATCCTCTCGGCAAGGTATGCGATGGACAAACACCAGCATTTGATATTTGGCTCTTATAAACTCTGATTTGTTTGGACTTTTGGGATGCCATGAAACACACACACACACACACAAAAGACATTGAGAGACTATGAATGAGAAAGCAGCAAGAGAGTCCATTGTCATTTTTTATTAAAAAACAAAAAAATACTCCATAATCATTTCCAAACATTTATGACTCACTGGAGTTTGTCCTGAGGGTTGGCCTTGCGTTTTCCACTCGTCACAGACGCAGGGTCCAGAAGGGAGTGCTCCCAAATTGAATTCGCACCGTTGTTGTATAATGTCTGAACCATCTAGGTTAGATTAAAAAGGAAAGCATCGTGTATAATTTGTCATATTGATTTAGACCTTCAAATGGTGAGGGGAAAATAAATAAATCCCCTTCCTGTGCTGCACTTGCTATATTTGGACAAAAATCAATACACCTCAGGGGATCTGCTGCACTTGATGTCATACAGCTTTACTGAATTTAAAACTGAAGTAATACTAACCCAAACCCAAGTATAACATGTTCTAATGGCTTTAGTTCAGCATCTAAGCACAGAAACTACAAGTAAGACAAGTTCACAGCCAACAGAATAAATATGCATGCAACAGCTGAATGATCAAAATATTTCTGTTGAGGATTATTTACCTGCAGCTGCGTAGGGGGCCATGGCGTGTGCGTCAGGTGGCGCACTTGGGAGCTGTGTCTGCCCAGGCTCCGATGTACACTGCAGCACTCGTCGCAGATCAACACGCCTCTGTTCACCGAGGCCCAGCGAGGTTCTGAGCGAGAACAGAAAACAACCAGGTCACAATTATGATAGATAAATTGTGCACTTAGAGTATAATCTTGGAGTTCGAGCAGTTCACTGGTTTTACTTTGATCAAGCCGAGGAAGTTAATCTTTCTTTCTCTTTTTATCATATTCAAATCAACTCAGTGCTTCTCTTTTGACAACAAGCTGGACCCAAAGAGTCTCCTGTTACCGCTGTTGTAAGATGACTACTACAGGCAGGTGCTTACTTGGTAATAATTATGATTATTATTTTGCTTTTTTGTCCAAGGAAAAAACATCATTTGATAGTTCTTACTCACAAGTACTGCTAATTTACCCAAAGTTTAATACAGTTTATTCTTCTGTGCCATAGGACTCTTGAAAATTATAGCCAAGCCATAGTGATATCAGTACTTCACACACACCATTACGCACCTACAAAAATGAGCTCTCAAATGTTTAGAGGCACAGAAGTAACCGTTTTACATGGATCCTTCATAATTCTGACAGATTTAGCTGGATTGGGCTTAAGACAACTATCTTTTAGGTTCCTAGCACCCTAAAAAGAGTTGTGATTTCATGACAGAAAGGGATAATATCGGAGTTTCGAGACAACATAAGAATTTCAGTTGGGCCAAAGATCCCACAGAATGAAATAATCGACAGAATCTGATTGTTTTGATAGCGTAAATAGTCCCCATATGTATAAGGTATTTAGTTTTTGATTGCTATGGCATGATTTTATGAGTTAAAGCATATTATTTTGAGGACCCCTTAGCACAAAGCTGTCCCCAGACCCGCTCTGAGAAAACAAACATATAGTTATCTATAGCTGAGAAAGGTCCCTGAAAAATATGCTGTTTAATCCTGCTCAAGTGGCATTCGCTGAAAACTAGTGTCCTGCTGGAAGAAATAGCTGAGGCTTTTCAAAATAGTTATTTCATATATTTTATTTTAAAAAAAAAATCTTCATTGGCTTTCAACACATGGGATTAACAAAATGTTGGTGTTGGCGTTTTCATTAAATTTCTGGACACTAGATCACAATGTATTATATGTCATATAATTAAACATAATAATATCACAAGATGCTGAGTGGATGCTTTAAGATCTAATGAAGAAAAACACAACCCAAGAAAGAAAGAAAAGAAAAAGTCAAACTCAAAACAGGCTGTGAAAAAGGTCACATTCATAGTCATGTATCGCCTTTCTGACTGCAGATTTAGGTGAAGCTATGGGTTGCGTAAAAAGGAAGTGAAGACTAACAGAGCAGCTTCCTCTTTCAAAGCACTATAAAGAAAATACCTGAAGAACTAATAATCTTAGAACTGAGCTGCAATATTAACCTAATGCGTGGTTGTTTTTTGCCCTATGAATTAAAAGTGTACTATGACTCTGTGACCAAAATAAATGTGTTTACTTAACCTTGGCCTATTTTGCACGGTTCATGCAGTGCAAAAGTCACAGAGTTGTCTTCCATCTGTGCACAGACTCTTCTTGACAGCAAACTTCAAGACTAGAAACACTGTAAAATGATACAACACTAAAGCTCACTGAGTTTCAAGCAGATAGAGTGACGGGACAGGCGCTGTAAAAATCCCAACAGCAGCTGCAGTGCAAGAGCAACAGATGCAGGAGGTCGCTGGACAGATTGTGGCTCCTGGTCCCCGAGTTTTCAGAATCTCCTTCTAACAACTGTCCCTCAGGACCTCCCGAGTCTCAGTGCTCTCCTCAGCACGTGCTGCTAAATTTAATACCACATCTTGAAACGCTAAAAATATTCACACCCAACAACTGGTAGCAGCCATAAAGTGGGGCAATCCAGGGCAGCTGCTGAGGAGAGCTCAGGGTTAACTAATGACATGAGTGACATGATGACAGACGAGCTTCTTAATATTTGCGTTCCGCTGAATGATGCAAAACAAACCGATGTATTTTCTATTATTAGACTTTGCTTAATTTACAGTGCATTATGTCGCCACAAGAAGAAGAAAAATAAAATCTCTCCTGCATTGAGTATGCGGTCAATTCACTCAGCATCCTGTTTTGCTTCCTGTGCCTGCTGAACAGCATCACGTCATTTCTATACAAGTGGAACTTCTGTAAGTACAGCCTCAGACACAATACAACAATTGTATGCTCAGCTCTCAGAGCTTGGTGCCATTGGTCCCGAAAAACAAAGCTCTGTTAGAGAGTGCTGGTACCCTGATGCCATATAAGTGGTTATAGCACTATTTTTTTTACTCTATTACATTACAAGTGACTGGTTACAGATGACACGGACTGCAGATTTGGGTTAATGATGCAACGACTTTTTTAAATAATCAAATCTTTATGAATACAGTAGGAAATACAATACAGTCATTACTCATTAACACCTTTAGTTCAGCTGAGTTACATCGTGCCAGAAGACCACTGTTATGCCCCCTTTTTTATTGCACTTTACTCATGAGAAACAGTTAATCCCAGCAGTTGAAAGTTAATTTTATAACGGGCATATAAAAGGGACATATCATATAATTATAATAGGGTTTTGGTTGCTTATTAAACCAAAAGGCACCCTAAAAACTCCTTTCATGAAGGGAGCTATGGCGTTAGACATGAATACTAACTAGGGAAACTGGATACCCTAAATTACTGTAAAGAGAAACCAACGTGTTGCCAGCGCTGCTAATCGGATTTATTTGGATTTGGGGTGTTTCTTAAGCACCAAATGTCAGCTAACAGACAAACACTGCATAGATGGTGTAAGTTTTACTTACCTGGGACACAGCAATCTGCGCAGACCTCAGTGTTTCGCAGGCGTTTAGACATCCTCAACTCGGGAAGAAACGCCTTTTAAAACTGAGTAGAGGAAATTGTGTCCGTTATGCTAACCATTGATTACTCTGTTAAGATGCCTTCCGCGTTAGCTAAACCCAGCAAATTAAAAACAATCCAACAACTAACTATCGTACTTACTTCCTTTTAACCGTTGCGAGCCTTTTCGTTTTTTGCTAGAGTTGGAGTTATGACCATGATAACATTTCCTCCCGCTACAACGCCGGTCGTCTGCAAGTGAGCTGACTGAGCAGCCACCTGATTAGCTAACTAGCCTGTGCACACTTGGTAGTTTACTCCTCTGCCTCTAGACAGCAGCATTTAGCGCTAGCGCGATCCCAGAGGCAGTTGTGACTGTGACCTATAATTGTGGTTTACTTTGCCCATAGTTTTGACTCTCAGGAAATAAACCTCTCAAAATAATACGAATAAGTCCTGCTTGAAATTTGTTCCGATTCTCTAATTTTATAGCTACGGGTAAACATGAAATATGAATACAACACAATACTTGTGGAGCTCGTTTTTGTCGGTACACAACCTGACAGATTAAAATCAGGGTTTTAATTTTCCCTAAAAGAGGTGAGTTTGATCTACTCACCTTGGAGTACACTGTAGTATTTTTTATGTCTTAAATTAATCTCCATACATGTTCACCTACCGACAGCCTTTTAAATCGCGCTTTGTACATCTTTAACACTGATGCAATATTAGATTAAAAAAACAAAAACGGCAAGTGACCAACCCAGATACAAGACGTGAAAACAGTCATGTGTATTAAATCATGTATTAAAATTTGACTGCGTAGAGCAGAAATAGGCACCGAACCTAACTGAGACAGATGAGTTTTTAATTAACATTGATTTGTGAAGTTTAAAACAATAAGCCGGATACATACAACGTTATATACTATCTTTAAATTTAGCAGGCGTAGTTATGTACATTATAACCTGGCGGTACAGATTTAGATTTTTAACCCGCATCCACCCCCTCCCTCAAAACGTAATATTGCCAATCCCATTTCAATGTTATAGGGCATAATAGGACAATTAACTTTCTGGGAATTTACATGGTTTGTTTAGCTAATGTCTGCACGATATAGCAGCGCTATATTTCAAGAATTCAAAATATGGGAACCAAAGTTAGACAATATAGAAATCACTTTATTTAGTCATAGTACTAACAATGAAGGTTCTGCAACCCCCACGTCGACATGCTAAATGGTTGATTCCAGACTGGAACTGTCTATTATTTTTTTAAGGCGATGATTTTATCTACGAGTGCTGTTTCATTTGTTTTTAGCCTAAATGATTTTTTGTAAACCGTATATAAGGTGTTCCTTTAAAATTGACCATTAGGTTACCTTAATCAGGCGATATTTAATGGACTGCGAGTCTGTTTCTATATAGAACACCCCTGTCGTTGCTGGGAACTACTCCTGGCACTTCCTTGTTCAAAAGTTTTATTTAGGGGAAGGCTTGGGGGGGAAAGTTGGTCACCGGATTGGTTATTCCTTCGACGCTGCTGTCAGACATTAAAGGCATGGATCAAAGCTTTTTGGCGTAACTACTGTGGCTGTCCCAGCTTTTCTCATGGCTCCAGTTGTTAGAGGGTGGCTAACGTTGCACTGAAAGAAAGAGGAAGATGTCCATGGCTAACATTAGCGAAGACATCAGGGTGAAGTTTCCCCTACATTCCGCAGTGTGGGAGAATGACTACAGGAAGCTGGAGCAGCTATTAACATCAACGCAGGTTGGTTAAAACCACTGGAGAGGTTGGTAACCTTGGCACCGATACTCAGCTAGCCGGACTAAGCCAGGAGTGAGTTGCTGAATTTCCGCAGGCAGGCAGTTAAAGAAGGCCAGTGGTGTTTACAGATGCTCCGCAGGCAGCCACATACACATGACACTGAGTAGCGCAGCTTTTTACGCATCTATAAGTTGGAAAGCTTTAAAAGACAAAAAAAACAAAAGTCTCCCGGTACAGACTGGTAGCTTGTTTCCAGTTAAACTGTAAGCTTCTGTCCCATTTCACTGGATTCCTCAAATACACTGATTAACAGACAGCAGTACGTGTTTTATCACTCGCATGCATAGATTTGTTGTTTATTTTTGCACTACCTATAGTAACTCGGCATTGCTATTTAGCTTCAAAATGGAGAGATCCAGTAGCTCAAACAATAAGCAGTGTTAGGGATGGGTATTGATAAGGGTTTATTGATGCAAATGCCATTATTGATTTTCTTTATAGGTCAGATTGGTTTTTACTGTCAACTCAGTTTCATTTTCACTGCTTGGACAAAGTGTAGGGGGAAATAAGCTTGCATGTGACTCAGGTGTGTAAAAAATGCCGCTATCACGAGTCTGGTGTCACTGTTGTGCAATCTGCAACTTTTGGAAAAACATGCCATGATTCGATGTTTTGGGGGGTTTATGATAATCCGATGAATAGTATAAACTCTAGATTCCCATCCCTACGCCGATAATTACCTCAATACGTGCTTGAGAGTGTATTTTATTTACTTAAAATGGACAATGCAGTTTGACATAGTTCCAGTACAGAGCATGAAACTGATGTGCCGCACAAAGAGTTTATAGCTGTTCCTAATTTTCAGCCCTTGTTGGGATTATACATCCAAACTATACAATTATTATGATTCCTCTGTACTGACTCCAGCAGTTTTATATCATTGTTAGCCATGACCAAATTGCATGTTGTTGACTGCACTGGTTATAGTAATCGCTTGGAGGTTGTAATGTCAGCTCGGTAGTATTTAATCTAAACAAGCACCTTATTATTTTTCAGAATGACATCGAGGCTGTGGATCCCAGAGGCCGAACACCTCTGCACCTGGCTGTATCACTCGGGCACCTGGAGTCAGTGAGAATCCTGCTGAGACACGGCGGTCAAGTGACTAAAGAAAATGCCAATAATTGGACAGGTTTGTTACGAAGCTAGCTACATAACAGACAAGGAGGGCTAGGATTTGGATTGGTTTGTTGGTTGATTTTCAATCCCTACTGTCTTTAACCCTACCTGTCATCTGCTGTTGATGAGGTTTCTTGTAAATATACTTATCCAAGAATATCAACTCCCACCACAGCAGTAAAATGGTTTCTTTGGTCTTTAATTTCATTGCTGAGGTTTTTAATGGTTAATCGTTTCTCAGAGGAAACTGATGCTGTTGCATTAAAAGGTTTAGTGGTTTGTTTCTGCTTGACTTTCTATGGGCAGTGCTGCAGGAAGCAGTCAGCACAGGAGATCCAGAGATGGTTCAGTTAGTGCTTCAACGCAGAGACTACCTCAAAGCCTCCACTGCCCTGGGAGGAGTGCCTGAGCTGCTGTCAAAGATCCGAGTGGTGTGACTTCATATATTTTTGCCTTTTGCTTGTCATCATTTGTAAGTGTGCCTGGAAACATTTATAACATTTCTTTTGCTCTTTCTAGTCTCCAGACTTCTATATGGAGATGAAATGGGAATTCACCAGTTGGAGTAAGTTCTTTTTTTTTTTTTTTTTTTTTTTTTTTGTGAGTGGAAATATATTTTTTTAAGTAGATTTTTAAAGTAGACAAGTGTATAAATAGTATTATGTTCATGCAAAAACAGCTAGTTTATCAGAAATCCAGTATGCAAAAGAGGGATGGTTTCAAAAGTTGTTTTTTTTTATTTAAGGCAGCAGTCTATTTTTAAAGATTGACACTTTTCCTGTGCGGCTTCATCAGGTCACACAGGAAAAACTACATACCTGCCTGATGGCAGGTGAAGTATTTGTTTGCTTAAGTGGTGTTTTTCACGTATGGATGCTTTTTGTTTCTGTATCCTGTTGTTTCGCAGTTCCTCTCGTGTCCCGGGTTTGTCCGAGTGATGTTTGCCGCATCTGGAAAAGCGGCGCCTCGCTGCGAGTGGATGTTACTCTTCTAGGCTTTGAGAACATGACCTGGATCAGAGGGCGTAGAAGCTACATCTTCAGAGGAGATGGCATGTGTTTACACTCCCTCACACAGACGAGTTTTCTTTGCTGCTGTTTTGATTAAAAGGGTCTAAGCGACTCCCTGTCTGCGTGTCTGCAGATTCATTTGCAGAGCTGATGGAGGTGAACCATGATGATGAAGTCGTGGACATCGAACGCTTCAACATATCCCAAGAAATGGAGGATGTGACGTTAGAGTCAATGCAGCCAGCTGAGCAGGAAGTTGCAAAAAGGTTGACGACTCCTATTGTCAACACCTACTTGGACACAAAGGATATTGCTTTTGAGAGGTAAGAGGCATTTATTCCTCCTTTTTCCTGTTTTTCCTCATGTCAGGAATGCATCTAAATTTGTTTGATAAGCTGCGACAGAACTCCAAAGCTATGCTACTTCACGAGAGTTGGCTTCTCATGGCATCTTGTTTCAGTGGAATTACTGCCTGAGCCAGGTTACTGTGTAACCCATTAGAGTTCATGATCACCACCTCTGATCTATGGATGACATTTCCAGTAGTATAAGATAATAAATATTTTGAGGCCTTACATGGAATATTCTTAAATTTTTCAAAATTAACACGTCAAACCAGAATCTAACATGTTAAAATAGCAGGGTAGATGATTCTCTATTATACAGTATATTGAGTTATTATGGAATTTTTACATGAGATATTCAAGCTTTTTCTTGTCTGTCCTTCTGGAAACTGTAGCATCTAAATGCAATATTTATATTTAGTACTTTTTTTTTTTTTTTGTTTATTCAACATCCAGCTAGAGGACATGTTATCACAATGATGATGACGACACAGGTGACAGACGGCATCTTACTTCAGCTATCCTTACATTAGTAGTTGCTGTTGCACTGTTGGATTGTGAATGTATTTGAATCTAAAGAACAACGATGAATCTCTTCTATTATGATGTTTTATGTTTTCTGGATATATACCAGTCTTTTGTTTTGTGTTTTTCCTACAGGACTAAGTCTGGCATTTGGGGCTGGAGAGCTGATAAAACTGAAGTAGTCAATGGATTTGAAGCGAAGGTATAGAGAAGTTATAAATCAAACCAGAATGTGTTTATAAAATGTGCTGGTTTTATTACCTGACACTGTATTTTTGTCATTTTCTCAGGTTTTCAGTGTGAACAATGTAAATGTGGTAATCAGGACACGGACAGAGCATCTTACAGATGAGGAGAAAGCCAGGATAAAAAGTACAGTTTTTAAGTATTTCAGTATATATATTGTTTTTGTTTGCTTTTGGGGGGGGGTTTCAACATATAGTTTAAATGAACTGATCAGTGACAGCATTAATTATTAAGTATCCTTTGAAAGAAGCTCAACACAGCCGGGCTTTCTTTGTGTTAGCTGACTCACAAAACCTAGAACCTAGTTGATGATAACGGATCTGTTAAGCCAGACTTTCTGCTTCAGGCTCTGCACAGACAAATAAAGCAGACATGGAAATTTCTTTAATTTGTCAGTGGATCAAAGTTGTATTTATTCTTTTAAGTTTAATAAACATTTTTGGTGTTTGTTGTGTGTTCTAGCAGCTGCAATTCCTGCAGTGTAAAGGAGACTTATCAGCAGATTGGAAGCAAGCATAAAAACATTTATACGTTTTCTGCATCGCCAAAACAATATATGCAAATTTTAAGGGACCTGCTGTGATTTTACAGCTTTGCTTCTTTCATTATATCAGTAAGGTAGGGCTTAATAACTTAACTTCCCCCATCCTCCCAGCAGAGAAAACAAGCTGTAAACAAGAGCACTCAGGGAGATCTCCTTCTGCAGGGCGAGGGCTACACTAAACTTCAATGTTTTATGATGTCTTTATTACAGCACACGGTTTTCAGCCTGTTATGGTGTCATTGTGACATCATAGCGTGCCGTATTTGGTTCATAGCTCCCTCCATGCCCTTTCATATGAATATTACTCTCATGATATATTCTAAGAGTATATATTTTGACAGGTTCCTTGGAATGTGTTTTTCACAGTGAACTTTAGCCTTTGGTGCTAAGAATGAAGGTGAAGGCAACCTGGGTACTTATGTGAAGTTTGAAGATGATCTATAAAAATTGTGGGTAATATAAAGTTTTTACAATTAATTTTTCACACTTGGTGTGACCTTGACCTGATTTTTTTTTTTTTTTTTTTTTTTTTTTTTTTTACCAAAATGACATCAGCTCAAGAAAAAGGTATCTTGATAAGAATGCTAACAAACACATACTAAAAAAGAACCAAATCCATACACCTACCCTTCGGGAGGAGAAAAAAGAATCAATGAAGTCGTGGTATATTTTAAACTGAAACTCTAAACATAACCTTTGCCCCACAAGGTTATTCATTCAGCACAAGTTACCATAGTGATTTAGCCAGGTAAAACGAGAGCTGCTCTTGTCACACAAAAAACTCCAACTTTAAACTTGACATAGCTCGCTAACCAATTGATCTCGCTTTGTAGCGCTCTAGTATTAATGTGGCTATTATTTTGCCTTGTATCACTCACCTAAACACCAGCACCAACACTGGCAGGGTCGTCCTCTCTGACATGTATCCCTGACTGATTGAGGCAGATCCATGGATGCCCCATCCACTAACCCAAAGGACCCAAAGTGTCAGCGAAATAAAATAATAGTAATAATAAAGTTTAATTGTTGATGCCTTTCAAAACAACATGAAATCTGCTGCCAGTTCAAAATGTCAGGGAAGTGGTTTGAATGTTGTTATAGTCAACTTTTCTTTACACTCATAACAGAACTGAATCTGAGTGCTGATTGGCTGCTTTTCTTTTGTTTTTGTTCTTTCCAAAGGTGAAAGAAACATCCTGGAGTCTCTGCTGGGGACTGTGGAGCAGCACATAAATGCGCAAGGAGTAAGTTGTTCCTTCAGCATTATTGTAAACGTGATACATTTTGTTGCCATGCACCTGCTTATTTTTTGCGACTTCATCATTCTGTAGGACCTGACTCTCGAATATGCAACTGCCAACAATCCCACTGCGATCACTCCAGAGGAATACTTTGATCCCGACTTTGACCTTGTGAAACGAGACATCGGCCGTCCTATTGAACTGAGCATTCGAACACAGAAGTAATTTCAAGTGTTCTAAACTCCAGTCCACTCATTTTCCTAGTTGTATTGTGGAATTTAATGTTTCACTTTATCTGCAATCTCCTCTCACGCAGATTCAAAGGAACATTGTGGATGAGTGAGGACCATCCCCTCTCCCTGGTGGAGCAGGTAACCCCCATTATCGACCTCATGGCTCGCACGAGTTCCCATTTTGCAAGACTACGAGACTTTGTAACCCTGAAATTCCCTCCTGGATTTCCTGTTAAAATAGGTATTTTGCAGTTTTATGATTTTTATTTATTTATTGTTATTTTTTTCACTAGAAATTCTGGATTTGCAGAAGAACTCTGATACCCTTTCTGTTGTCACTTTGGTATCTCATGTGGCCCTCTCTTTCAGAGATTCCCCTGTTTCATGTGCTTAATGCCAAGATTACCTTTGGTAGTGTAAATAAATGCAGCACTGAGGAGGAAGCGAACACATCAGCAGCAGCCACACCAACATCCACAGGAGACGATGAAGCAGCAGGTTGGAAAGCAGATGGTTTATCCAGAATATTTAAACACAAAACGCACGATTGTCATTTTAAACTGCTCAACTGCTGTTTTTTTTTATCCACCCTACCCAGCACCACCTCCTTTCCAGGTGTGTCCCTCGGTGTTTGAGGTACCTGCGAGTTATCACCGTCGCGGGGGAAGCCGCCACATGCCTGTGTCCAATAACGATGAGGAGCTCTTACAGTACGCCATCCATCAGAGTCTCCTGGAGTCTCGTCAAGGCACTGGCCAGGTCAGAGCAATCGTCACTGACACAAACTTCTTTTTCATGCAAATTTCCCCCCCCTTCCCCACATGCTGAAGACTGTAACTTCCCCTGGTGTTTGTGTGTTTGTAGGAGGGGCTCTGGGATCATGTTGATGGGGACTTCGCTGATGTAATGCCGATTAACCAGAGTGACAGGTAGGAACAGATTAACAGTGTTACAAGTAACTCTGTTACTGAATGTTTTAATAGAAGGTGCTTGCAGCTTAGGAGGCCTAGGGATTCACATGGTTGGTTTTGTAGTGTTTTTAGTCAAACTTTATCACATATTTATTCTGCGCACCTTAAGTCTGTTCAGTGTCCACCTGTGAGGATGATATTCTGCCTCGCTGCCTGTAAGCATCAGTAAAGGCAACAGGAAAAAAGGTGAATCTCAGTTTTATCCTGTTAACCTTCTAGGAGTATCCCAGAGGGGGTGCTGGTGGATTATAGAGACACCTCCAGCCCTCCCAGCTCTGCCTCTGCCTCTAGCCCTGATTCAGACCTGCGTCTAGCAATGGAGCTTTCTGCAAGAGCTCAAGAGGAAGAAGAGAGAATGAGGAAACAAGAGGAAGAGGAGCTGGAGAGGATATTGCAGCTTTCGCTCACAGAGAAATAAAGGGAATAAGAGGGAAATATAAATATTAATAATAATTATAATAATACAAATTCTGCTGATCCAGAAAGCAACCACCACACCTCAGTTTTCCTTCCTAACCACTCTCATCAACTATGCAACTGCAGATCTCTTTCTACAACAGATAATTCTTACACAGCCAAAATCAAACTGTCTGTATCCAATATTTTTCAAAAGGTATTTTGGTAAGAGTATACTCTTTTTTTTGTATATTTCTATCTCAGTATAGTGTCTCCATCGTCACGCTTCTTTCCTGGACTGTTTGAGATCATTCTGGATGGGTTCTACTTTTTATTTATTCAGTTTCTTTGTTTCAGTTCAGACTCACAGCGGCAACTTGCAGGTATTTCTGTCACTGTTGTCTCGGGTGAGGGTTGAGTCAGTGTAACGTGGTTCTGTGAACAAAAAAAGTTTGACTGACTGCTCAAAGGTGACTTCATATAGTGTCGGCACACAAATGTGATATTCGCGGCCCCGGCAAACAAACACAGCAGTGCTGTCATTGTAAAGTCTCCCTACATAGTCACTTGGTTGAGGATATTGGACTCACTGAAAAGCAGAAAACTCAGGGTTTGCAGTTTTGTTTTGTTTTTGTTCCTTTGCTTTGGAATAACTTTGTTAATCAGCTGTAAAACTGACAGAAGTTAGCCAGGTAAATGATTTTAATATGGTACCACTCTAGCATATCGTTCTATTAGAACACTATGCCAGTGTTAAGTTGGAAAGGTTTGTTGGGTTGATTCAGATGTTCATATGTAAATGTGTCTTCTTGTACTTTGTGAATGTACTCTCTACAGATGGAGTAGAGCATGTTGCTTTGAAAGAAATTTGAAATTAGCCGCATGGTGTAGTATCTCTTTGCAAAAAGGATAAAGGGGGGTGGTTGGCTTTCCTTTCCTGTCTTGAGCTTCTGGTGAAAATTGACTTCTCTCTTCTTTTTTTTTTCTTTTTTTTTTTTTTGTAAATTCTCACTGAGCAACTTCACCTCAATTCAGAAATGCAATAGCAAAGACCAGTCTGTCTGTGGATTTATAATAGTCATGCAGCTGGGAAGCAGTAGTTCCAAAGGGCAGTCTACATTTTGTATCCATGAACAACTCAACACCTCTGTGCGGAAGAAGGAAAGCAGCACAGACCCTGAGGTCAAGCATGAGCGCCATACGTTGGGGTTTGATTTTTTTTTTTTTTTCCTTTTCTTTTCTTCAGCATGTGCCAAGGATTGCTTCGCTCTGATAACACGTGGTGGAGCTGAAGCGTGGCAAAATTTATATGCAGTGCAACTCGGACTAAACTGTTTAAATGAGTTTCTTTAAAATTTTGTAGTTTGAAAAACAAGGTGTCTCAGCTGTGTGATGCCGAGTAACACTCATTAACCACTGTCGATGATTTTTACTGACAACCAACCACTTTATCAGAGGTCTGTGCGACTGACTGCATCAGAAGCTTCAGCTGAACAGCTACTAACTGTAAAGATCAAGTTGCCAAACTGCTGAAAAGTCAAATTTGAAAATGGTAGCTTTAGTTAATTTAATGAAAATCTTTGCAGTGCGCCATTTGAGCTGTAAGGTTTTTTATAATATGTTGAAAGTTTCAGAGAATGTGTCAGTTTTCAAAATGTTGTGAAATAAAAGCACTTTATTTCCATTACTGCATGCTTCTTCTTTTTTTTCTTTTTTTTTAATGTGGTGTGTGTGACCATGAATAGTTGCCTGTCTCTGTGTGAACCCTGTGATGGACTGATGACCACACCGATGCTGCATCAGAGTGTGAGTCTTAGATAGAAAGTACTTACATAGAAAAAGCATAGAAGTGCTTGTATGAATGAGTGAATGAGGCGAGCTGTATGAAAGTGCTTTGAGTGCGCAGAGTAACAAAGCACTAAATAAGAACCAGTCCATTTACTGTATGATTTTTATCTTGCACATCAGGTTCAGTCATGACCAGATCAAAACAAAGACGGCAATGACAACTCGCTCTCACTTTTTAATCTCAAAGTTTAATGCTTGCAGAACTTTTGCTTTTCATCAAACAAAAAATACAACCAATCACAAAATTTCCAGCTTTGAAACCCAAATAAATAACACATGGTGCTCTCTTTTTATAAAATACAGGCCCAGATTACTACTTGTGCCATTAGGTGAGCATTTTAAATCAGTTTTGTCTCATTCTATTTACAAAATCAATTTTACATAAACTAATACGCAGTGGAGCCAAAAAGCCTTAAAAATGAATCTGAATTTCAGAATATCTACCCCCTATTTGAAAATGATAACAGCTAATAGCAAATGATTCAAGGAGTTTCTTGTGATGTGTATCATCTTCAAGTAGTTCCTGCGAGCCCGGTGTGTTGGCTCCTTAGCAGTAATAATATTCTCCAAAACCAGAAGGGTGAAGGATGTCTCTGATGAAACCAGTGGTTCTCCTTGGTCAGGGTGGAGTCAACTCAGTACAAGTATCCATCTCCAGAACACTTTGGGTTTAATGCACTGTTATCCTTCTCTCTCTCCGCATATACCCTTGTGCTACTGACACAAATCTCGCATTTACACACCTACCCAACCCAAGAGACCACCGCTCCTCCTCTGAGACCAGACTAGACGTGGTTATTTCAACTGCACTTTTTATTCTTCTACTTTTTATTTACAAATGTCCTTATCTGTGATGGAGTTGCTTTTAAGTGACAGTGAACAGCGAGGTTTCGATGGAGCAATTTCTGGAAAGTTTTAATCTGCGATCTTTGTCTAGTCATAAAATGTGATTCAGTTTCTTTTGCCACTATCACCTGAAGATGACACAGGTGATAGTGGTAAAGCAGTTTTTTGCTGGAAACATGAGGCCCAGTCTCAGATGTTTGATCTCCACTGTATCTGTGTTCACTTTAAATTATATTAATAACTGACCTGAGATCAAGATAAATTAAAGACACTAAAGATACACTGATCAGGCATAGCATTATGGCCACCTGTCTAATACTGCGTTAGTCTTTCGTTTCCTACCAAAACAGCCGTGAACCATCAAAGCATGGACTCCACTAGCCCCCCTGAAGGTGCAATTTGAGCTACAGTAGCTCAAATTGCTGAAAATGTTGCATTGGGCCAAGTTGGCCAGCCGTTACTCTCGACGTACATCAGTGAGCCTCCATGCTTGGACCACTTCTGATAGAAACTGACCACCGTACACCGGGAAGGGCCCAAGAGACCCGCAATTCTGCAGATGTTCAGTAGAGTTGGCTATCACAAAGTGGCCCTCAAACTCACTCAAACACCTATGCTTGCACATTTTCCTGCTTCTAACACACCAAATTTGAGGACATAATGATTACTTGCACCCTAATATAGCCCACACTCACCAACAGGTGCCATGATGAAGACATAATCACTGTTATTCACCATCAGTGCTCACAAAGTTACGCCTGATCTGTGTTTATAAACTAACTGCGCACACTGGGCTTTTTGGCAGCTGCTTTTCCCTCAGTCGGTTCCCATCTGCACATGGTTACGGCAACAGAGCGGGTGTAACTTTGCAGACAGAACAGGATTGTCTCTCGGCTCATATGTCCTCCAGATTTCAGCGACGAGACAGCGGTTTGTAGACGCAGACAGCCATAATGATCATCAGCACCAGCACCACCGCCAGGACACTCCCCAGTGTGACTGTAAGGACAAAAACACAAGCACAGCCAATAAAAACAGACTAACGGGCAGACAAGCGCGACGGGTTAACTGGTTACACTGGTTTAAAGGTTTCTGTTGCAGTATATAGTTGTGGTCGCTGGAGACTAAAGAGAAATAAACACCTTGAACCTTACACCTGGATGTCGGGATCATTGAACGGCCCCTCCACAGGCCTCACATTTGTTCTCACCTAAATTCTGCTTCTGCAGGACCACATAAGCTCTCTCGGCCACCCTGTAGTCGTCGGGCTGAGCGATAACCAGCGCATTAAAGCACATTACTGCAGCTTGTGTGAGAAGATGCAGCATCTTAGCAGTGGAGGATGGAGGAGGATGATGAGGATGAGGATGACAGCGAGGGGTTTCTTCTTCCGCTATAGGATCTGGGTCCTAACGCCGTTGGATAATTGTATCGTGAAACTGTCCAGAACAAGGGTGTCAAACAAAAGGCCCGGGGTCCATAATGGGCCCGGCAAAGAATTCAGCTGGACGTCTTTGAAAAGACGAAGGAGCGCATGCATTTTGGACTTTGAATTGTTTTTTAATACGTTTGAGAGCTTTTCATATTGATGAAGATCCTCCCCACAGTCTTTCCTATTCTGTTCCTTCAGTCTTTTTATCTTTCACACGTAACGTAGGTGTCTACAGCTGTGTCCCCACCAACTCCCTCGCCCTTTGTTGCCTTGTGTGTGAACATGTTGTCCCAGTCTCCCCTAGGCCCTATTCCCGAAAGTGGATTAAATTAACAACTCTGAGCTTGTTTTTAAAATTTTGAGTTTGATGAACACGCTTCGTGGAATACCCCTTTGACTGGTTACAGCTCAACTATGAGACTGAGAGATTATTCATCTCAGCCTAGTAAGCTGAGCTAACTGTAGACTCTCTCAGCAGCTCTGACACTGAAAGCTTCAGGATGGTGGAAATACAAAATGTACAAACTCTTTTCTCTTCTCCGCAACATAAAACAGTCGTGTGGTGTCTCTCACACTCTCAGTTTCTGAAATGTCAAAGAGCAAAGAAGGCTCGTTAGAAAGGTTGAGCTCCTTGAAGTTATATTTTAATATAATTACTCTGCGTGACTGGGGTATAATCTCATCGTTTATAGACAAGTGCACACCATTGCAAACTCGTACAGCTGTTGATTACATGCTAGAAAGGCATAATGAGTGTTAAGAAATGTCAGTCACGGTGACCTGAATGTAAAAAGAAGGCTTCCTGGATACATTTATCACAACAAGACAGCATTTCATAATAGCATGAAGTCAGAAATTGTATTGTAATGGAAGGCATTTAAAATCATAAAGTTACGACCTTAAGCTTAACACAAAAATATAAAAGGACTCATCATTATCAAATCATTATTGTGTGTTTTTTAAAGGTTTTTCAGTACGATGCAAAGTGTCTTCAGATAACGGCTGACATGACTTAGCAATATAGAAACCGAATTAAATTAAATTTTAGTTTAATCAGTGGAAAGTTTTTTTTAATTCAGCAGTAAATTAGATGATCAGTCAGTTGAGTTGCTTAACAGTTAGACCTCCAAGTGTCATCAGACCATCTGCTGCAGTTAGGATCACCTCAGCCATCTGTGAATATCAGGGCTAGGCAAGTGAAAGGACCCTCTGGAAGGGGATGGAATCAGAAGTAAATGAGCTGGGGAGGTTGCCGCCTGAGGAATTTGGTTATTTTGGGAGTTTTAATTCCTTTTATTGTTAATACAAGTGTTTGAAGTTTTGCATTCCTTATTCTAGTAGATTACAAGCTTTATTTCTTGTGGCATCTATAAGTGTTTGAGTCCATTTTTTTCTTATAACTCCCCAGTGATAACTTTCAGTTTTTCATCCTGTGTTTTCTTTCATGTATTTGTTTCATGTATAATAGTAGTTTTGATCATCGTGGTTTCCCTATCTGTTTCTCTGTGTTTATGTCTTTGTCCTGCAGTGTTCCCTCGTCTCTGACTTCATGTTCAGTCCTCGTGTGTCCATGTTAACTATGTTTCCTGCCTTCGTATTTGTGAATATTCATGTATTTTTCAGCCTCCTTTGTTTACTTCCTGTTTAGTTTTAAAGTTTGTTATCTTTTGTCTCCTGTGTTGATTTTGCTTCTTGTCTTTAAACAAAAACCCAACAAATAGATGGCTCAGGAGATAACACATGTTGCCTACTAGTCAGGAGGTTGGTGGTTTAGTCCTCAGCTTCTTTAGCCTACCTGTAGTCTTAGCTTAAAATGCTTATGCTAATCGGTGGTAGAAAAGCATAATACCCAGTATCAGTCCCTTTGTTGTTGAATCTCTTACAACTGTCAGATGTATTTTGTGTCACCACTGGTTAAATCAGCAACTAGAAACTACAGCCATGTACAATGGACACCTACAAGTCAGAGAAGAGTACAGTCAAGTCTAACTGCCTGCACATGTGATGAATGAATGTTATTCCTTTATTTCTATTATTCACCCCTTGTTAGAATTATTAGCATTAACTGGAGGGTTTAACAGTGTGTTCATGCAGTAATTCTTTCCATGTATACTGTTTCTAAAGCTGTCCATATCAAGCAGGAGAGAACCACCTATTTAGCGTTGCCTCTTTTATGTGTCTCCTGTGCTTGCCTGTTCTCTACTTCAATAGCAGTCACTGACACAAAAGGGCTTTGATCTGCACGTCCATCACCCAGCAGCTCATTGGGGAATCAAATGTTTCAAAACCACTTCCCACTCTCGTATATTTTCATACCTGTCAGCCTTGACGTGATGGAGCCGTGCTCAGATAAAACTCTGAAGGGTAGCGTTAGCGGAAATTGTACATGTGTGTGACTGTGTCAGTGTGAGAGCCTGAGGAGATCAGAAGGTTTAAGCTGCTCTATTCGCCCGTATGTGGACGGATTGTGGATGTTGCAAATTAGCTTGTTAATTAGAATATCTAATAGAGGTGAACAATGACAGCCAACAGCCATTACAAAGACACGAAGATCATCATGTGGAAATTACAGTTCAGGAAAAGCACAGGGTGTTTGATATAAATAGTGGAATTTAACCGCCATAAATCTTATGCAGTGTTTTTCTTCCTTTTGTCACATTTAATCTGTTCTATTGAAAAGGAGTACAAACGATAAAATACGCCATTTATGCTATAATTCATTTACACACACATGTCTACAGAAACCACACCGAAGAGAACAGAAAGCACAGAACAATCATCAACCTCGGGCATCACATCGTTCCCTAATTGTAAATAAAGGATAAAGCATTTCAGATAAGGTAACACTAAAACAGAGCTACTATTTATATGCAAAACACAAACAAACAAGCAAACAAACATTTGAACAGTCTCAAATTAGAAAGTGGAAATATTGTCTGGAGAGGCACAGAATCCATAGATATCAATACAACCTTTCCAAGTTTTGCAAATACAGTATAGCATGTATTCATATTAAGGCAAGACAGGCTATCTGGAGTTAAATGAAGCTATCAGACAAAGACCAGAAAATATTCAACAGTCTCATTTAAATTAATCATGAGATTCTTTTACATATTGTAGTAGTGTCTACTTTAACTGTGAAACATACACTCACAGTTATGATAAGAAGATTACACTTTTAACACGGTCTTTGTCTGAGAGTCTCACTTACCTCCACTGCAAACACTAGTAGGGAAAAAACAACTTTTTCAACTTTTACTTCTTCAAGCTGCTGCCTTTAAAATCCTATGCAAGCACTGTATTACAGACCTACTGTCTAAATACAAAATACATCAAATACACTGTAATACACTCTTTTGTTATTTACCTCAGGTTTTGGTTGTAAATAACACGAAATGACTCACTCAACCGAGATTAACTATGATAGCCTCACTGCTGCTACAACTGCAACACTGATGATCCCACTGTTAGTAAAGCTGAGCATGCAAAGCAACAACGTACATAAAATATAGAAATGTTCCCATGCAAATATTCCCATGTTCCTTGGCATCATCTATCTTTATAAGATGAAAAGAGACCACAGATTTTACCACTTAACTTGTACAACCACAAGAAAGCAAAACGAGAAAACTCTAAACTATCCTGGTGGCGCAGGTCTGAATCGCTCTCTCTCTATCGTTTCTGTTTCTCTCTCTCTCACACACACACACACACACACACACACACACACACACACACACACACACACACACAGGGCAGAGATATGAGTATCTCAAATCCTCTCAAAATTAAAAATTTAGCAGCATTTACCTTTATACAGAGTGTACATACGCAGTGAGAGTTCAACACCATTAACTGGTAATCAGTCATAATGTTAGATCATGTTTAGGTTCAGCCATAAACAAACCTACAACTGTGGTTTTAATGGCAATCTAAAAGCACACAGAGATGTTTATCTCTCTATGGTACAGTGGCCATGTTGAGGTTCTCAGCGTGGATGTCTGGTATTGTCCTCTCGGGCCTCAGACACACGGCCAATCTCTGTGGAAAACAAGGGACGCGTGCAAACGAAGCAGAGGTTAGATTAGAAGAAAATGCATCAGAAACAGTTTCAGGACTTTGCACGCATCCACCGACCTGTTTGAGGGAACCAGGGGTCCACACCAGCTTGTAGACCATGTAGATTGGGACCCAAATGAAGGATGATAAGCCAACGATGTACCCGACTATGATGCTCCAGTCCGGGTACTTGTAATCAAACAGTGCGAGGGGTGGTGCTTTCAGCAGGGAGCTCACAATGATATACTGAGAAGATATGGGATACGCAGCATTTTCATATATGTTAATATATGACCTGTACTGAGTCCATTATTTAAAAATATGTAAAAGAAGTCTTATTGGTGTAGATTTCTAATTCTAAAATGTCATCAGGACAACAACCTTATAGGTGGATGCAAATAAGAGATTAGGGTATCAAACAGCGTATGTCTGTGTGCATGCTAGAAAATATTTAAGGAAGCTACTTCACAAAGAGAAGAATTTAATCTACAGAGGGGGCACTGAACTGTCTGCTCTCTTCAACTTTAAAGGCCACTGCTGAAGCTGTCTTTTGATCCTGCAATGAGCTTTCTCTCATATCCTTGTCTGCTACAGCTCACTGATCTCTGAGTGGCTTAACTGGATGATGCTCATTTGACCCAAAGAACTATGTGTTAAAGTATTTACAATGAGTGAAGATAACTAAAAGATCTTGTCGTTTTTATACAGCATAACCGCTGATGTTACGACTGAACCTTTGGGTGTTCAGAGTATCTCTCACCGCCAGAAACGCAGGACTGATAGCAACCCAGCACACTTTCCAGAACAGTCCCGGGGCTTTCCCAAGCATAGCCTGAACGTCATTGCTAAATCGATGGATTCCTGAAATCAGCAAAAATAATACAATCCATTATAGGTCACCAATTTATACTGGTGATAAAAGAAACAGAAAAGTAGTCAATAGATTTCTTCATTTTTTTCCTTTTTTTTTTTTTACCATAGAACCAGGAAACTGCAATAGCCTCAAGGAAACCCACTGCAATAATTGAGCTTCCAACTCCAAACTCCTCCAGCAGCTTCACCACGTAGGCACCACCCTGCCAGTAAGATTTTACAATCATTGATCATCAGTCAGCACTCATTTCCCCTCATTTGAGCAGCAGACAGTAGATAGCACTACTCCAATTTGCTACAATGTATCCAGAGCATTAATTATAATTGAAGGTAATTGTTTTAAAATATTGAGGCGATGCTTTTTGCTCTCTCGGGTTTGATGAGGATATAAAACACGAGTAACTTACATTGGTAAGGGTACTCAGAGAGCCTAAAAAACAGACAACCACCAAGCACAGAACAAAAAGTTCCCGTCTGTGATAGAGCTGATCTGGATATTCATCCAACACAGCAGTGATGATCGCCTCCAGCCCTCCAAACTGAAGCACACAGAGACAGCTGTCATCATTAGAAACATGTAGAGAAGTGTAAGGATGTTTGAAGTTCATGAAATAAGAAATATTGGACTGAATTTATGAATTTGAATCTGTGGTAGTAATCATCATGCACTGAATACTTCTAGGTTTCTCATCTCGTACCGTGCTGTCCAGTCCCAGTGTGATCATCATCACAAAAAAGATGATCGCGAAAAAGGTCGAGCCCATCATGTTTGCAATGGCCTCTGGGTAGGTGATGAAGAGTAGGCTCGGTCCTTAAAAGCACAGAAATGAACATGAACAGATGGGAGTGAGTATCTGTAATTATAATAGTTACAAAACATTTTATTTAAAACAATGTTTTACTGTTTTGCCTGCTGACCTTTGTCTCTGGCTACATCCTCAACCTCCACTTGCCTCATCTCTGCCATGTAGCCCAGCACCGTAAAGATGACGAAGCCCGACACAAAGCTGGTCAGACAGTTTACCAAGCTGGTCACGATGGCGTCGCTGCCGAGGAGGAAGCAGCGCAGTCATTGAACTTACTTATAGAAAAACACTTTCTTAAACAACAGGTCTGTTTGCAGACGGAGGCAGAAATGACATTTTCAGCATTTCGCCTGGTTTTCTTTACAAATTTCTTAAAACTTTTTCTGAGACACTTAGCTCACACACACCCAACAAGCCGACAAGATACTGTTTGCTTATAAAGTATAGAATAAATAACTTACAATTAACAGATAATAAAGAATACATTAATTACACATGGAGAAATTAAAACTAGAATTTGCATATTTGAGTTTTTTTTAATTTTTTTTTTTATTTGTTTATCAAGAGATTATGGAAACTTATATACATTGTATTGTATGCATCTTACATGACATATTTTCTCAAACATTTCTTTCCCAATCATTTTAACTTTTTCTTGTTAAACAAAAGAGAAATTAAAATACAAAAAACATATTTGAGTTTTAATTTGTATCACACTATGTTCAGCTTTTGAAAAAATTGGTTTCTTTTTTTATTTTGGAATTTTATTGCTTAAAATTGTATCGTGCAATTTATCACATTTTTTTCTGAGGTAAAAGAAAATCACACCGTCGGCGCAGAAGTCTCAAAAACTCAAATAGTATCAAATAGTGTATCAAATGTGACACACTAGGCGTTACGGGGATAATGTTTCCAAAGCTTGTCGTTAAAATCAAACACAACGCTCAAAAGGAGATGTGTTTTCACTCGTGCAATGGTTTCAGCATTTCACCCAGAGCATCAGTCTTTACTATTTAAGCCGCAACCACAGTTTCAGACAATAACTCAGTGTCTCATATGTCAGCAGGCACTGAGGGATCTTACCGATAGCAGTTGTTTGTGAAAGAGTTGTAGCTTGAAAGAGCCAAGAGGACCCCGAACCCTGGGCCCAGAGAAAAGAATATCTGAGCAGCAGCGTCCACCCACACCTACAAAACACAGAGGCAAAAATGCTCTGGGATGCTTTAGATTATTATGGTATTTAAGAGTATTAAAATAAATTGTCACTGATTTAACACCATCTAATTTTTCTTGTTTTTTTTATTTTATTTTATTTTGCCAAGCAGAGATTGGTTGTGTCAGTGGTACAGTGGGTGCACAGCTGTACGCAGGGAGATCTGAAGAGCAGCTCGCATTCGGCATTAAAAAGAAGAGGACAGCGTTGGATATCGGGGAGGGAGACAGAAAGGGAGGCTTTTGTTAATGGCAGAAAATCTAAACCAATTATGCATCTTATTATCCTGCTCTGTGGCTTATTTATGCATCTCATTACATCTCATCCATATTCTCTTCTAACCAAAGCACTCACACATGTTTTGCAAACAACAGCAGCGAGCTAAGAAGGAAGATGAGAAGGCGCGATAGATAGAAAAGAAATACAGGCTGATTCTCAGGGGACTAGTGGGTAGAATTAAATGAATATTTGGAAGATCCAGCTGTGCTGCATGTCTGAGTGTCATCATTTTAACAAGTTAAATATGCATCAGGATTTCTCCTCAGTGTTGGTTAAAATTATCAAGAATATCAACTTATTTGAGTCATTTCACCAGGACCTGCTAAGTGTGAAAGTTCTAAGAGGTTATAAGCACTTTTTTCATATTAGCAAAAAAAGGACCCTGCTATAGATAAAATGCTGCTCTAAAAAGTGGCTGCATTGATTCTTCTCACATCGGTGAAAATAAATTATTCTTTTATTTACTTAATTTTTACACATGTCAAATGAGACTACAGGTAACAAGGGTTTTATGGATCGTTTAAATTAACAGCATTTGTTTGTTTGTTTTTAACTTTAAATAATAATATAATTTATAACAAACCAGCTGGTCCCCCAGCTTCAACTCACACTGGTCTCCAGCAGCTTTCCCCACTGTGGTTTGAGATAAAACACCACACCTCTCCAGGCTCCTGGCAGAGTGGCGCCTCGAATGAGCAGGATAAAAAGCACAATATAGGGCAATGTGGCGGTCACCCACACTACCTGGTGCAGAGGAAGGCGATATATCAGAGTCGGAAACAAAGGTGTAAGAGAACCAGAAATCTAAGATAAAATCTGTGATTCAAGCAAAGAACATCCATTGTTGTGGCAGTAAAGCGACAGCAAAAAACTACCTTCCCTGAAGTCTTCACGCCCTTCCACAGGCTGAAGTACACTATGGTGAAAATGAGAAAAAGGCAAAGCATCAGCTGCCAGCGAACCCCACCAACATTTCTCAGCCCAGATGACTTGTGGATCTCAAGAACATTCCTCCTGTTGAAACAAAACATGGAACATCACGTTTTCAGCAACAAGATCATATTTCCCAAACAAAACCACCAGCTTGACTGTGTCAAGGATTCCCGCACAGCCGTGTACCTATGTGGTTTTTGCTACTCACACTTACATGCACTTACGTGTAAAATTCCTCTGCCGGAGACCTGGAGGCATTTGTCCAGGTGATGTTGTCCATGCCAAAATAGTTGGTGCAGTCGGGGGTGTTCCACACATTGTCGCAGTTAGTCCAAGGCAAGATGCTGGAGAACGAGGAATAGAAGTAGAAGAGGGCCCAGGCGATGATGGTGTTGTAGTAGAAGGACACATACAGAGCGATGATGCAGATGGCGTATCCTATACCTGAAACACACCAGAAAATGAAAAGAGCTTTGTAGCTGCAAATAAAAAATGTGTTTTGTCCGCACATGATCTGTCGAGCAGCTCAGGCCTCACCTTTGAAAATGGGACAGATGTGTTTCCATATTGATATGGCTCCAGTTCTGTGAAACTGTCCCAGTGCCAGCTCCATGTAGAAGAGCGGAACACCACCAAAGATGGCCATCAAAATGTAGGGAATAAGGAAAGCACCTGCATGGAGAGATGACATCTGAGGACATTTGTAAATGACAAAAACACTAACTTAAACCTGATTTTGGTTCCCATCCCAGCTTAAAGAGTGAATCTGCATGATTTAAGTGAAACTGACCCAGTTGTTAGAGCAGGCAAAGAAAGAATTGTCCACATAGTCCTGTGATTCTTTTCCTAGTTTTTGTCCCCTGACCTAAAAATCTTATCTTAATATGAACTTGTTAAGCTCTTTTATTTTTTGAAATTATAAACAAAGACCAAATGCATTTCAAAGACTTTTTAATTGAGTTTCTAACAGATGGATGCTCTCTTCAGCACCATGGACAGTTTCTGCTGTCATCTTTTTCGAGCAGAAACTGTGAGATCAAAATCATTTGAGGACAGAACAAGTTTTACAAACAAAGTCCGCACATCCTAACTTATGGATCGACCTGCTTTTAAACCTTTAGCCTACTTACCGCCACCGTTTTGATAACATATGTACGGAAACCTCCAAACATTCCCAAGGTCCACAGCAAAGCCAATCACAGACAGGAGAAAATCCATCTTTTTGCTCCATTTGTCTCGGGACTCCGTCTGCGTGATGACCGGCACCGGGACCGCGTTGTTGGTGCTATAGCCGGGGTTCGGGGAGCTGTGGTGGGTCAGACTGCCGGCCATGACCGCTGAGTCCTGTCGGGGCACCGGACTGTGAAAAGTCAGGCAGAGGAACAGCTCCTCAGAGAGGAGGATGCTTCTCCTGCGATGATGACAGGGTCGAGTGGGAGGAGTTGTTGGTGCTACACTTGGGGATACCTGTCAGTAGAAATCATACCCTCACTTTTTAACCGTCTTTCAACTGAAACGTCCAGGATGATTTACAGACTCTAAAGCGACGATGCTAGAGTTGATCAATGCGATAACTCACTTTAAAGGCGAGAGGCCTGTTTTTGAACACGGTTGAATTTCACCAGCAGCAAAGACTGATGGGATCGCAGCTTTACTCACATTTTTTTAAACTCCTTTCCCCTGAACGCATCATGATGTGCAGTAAAGTGAATGTTGAAGTTTCGCTGTGTAAGTCATCTCTTGCACGTCACACCATCGAAATTCAAAACTCTGCAACCTCATATTTTCTCTTTTTATCAATATGAATTAGAATTTGTTGTCGCCTGAAACTCAAACTTTAGAATATAAAGACTGAATTTGGATGAATTGGTACATTATGATCCTCATTTTCTGGGGATATCAGTGTCTTTATTTTTGCAAAAAAAGGCCAAGGAAAATTGATTTCAACATCTTATACCTGAAACATGAGTGAAAGATTAAATCAAACAACAGGCTTCTGACACAGTGTAACAGTAATTTTAACTAGTGTGCAATCGGTCAGTTTGAACTTCCACAGATTTAATACAGAAAGCCATAAACAGCACCTTGGACCATCTTGGTTTGCTGGTCCTGTGGCATCATATAGTTTGGTGAAGACAGCAAAATAGAATCACAGTAGCTTAACTGCACTGATTAGGGAAACCTAATAAAATGAATTTGTAATCAAATCTACCGCTTTTAGCACTGAGTAGTTTGAAAAGGCTACTAACTGGATAGTCAGAGAGCCATGGTCATGTAGGTCTGTGAGCGGAGAGAGTGCATCAAATGAAGTTACTTTGGGAAATGGATATGACACAGGATAGGACAGGAGACATCCAGTAATATCATAAAATTGTCACTTAAGAACCAAGTTGCAGCCGCACTGTCTGGCCTGGTGTCACATGGTTTACTGCCCAGCTTCCCCACCTGAACCTGGGGCAACGTGCTGTGCAGAAGGATTGTTTAATAACTGTTGTTTTGGCCCTTTCCTGCTAAATGGACATCAAAGGAGAAGCAAAGAAGAATATAGATTATTTCCCCTTCAAGTTAGCACCTCTCCGGGTAATAGACAGAGAGGGAGAGGCAGAGAAAGTTATAATACAAGTGATAATATTATTGTCAGAGCTAGGATGGGGAAAAGCTGGGAGGGAAAGGCTGTGGTTATCCAGCCGAGGTGTAGGGGCCCCTGAGGGCCAATAACATAGCAACAAACCATACATTACTGGCCTTCTCAGACATACAAACCTGTCAATCTGCATTGGCATACATGTGCAGAAGAGCATCAGACTGACAGGAGCCTCCCTCACATGCCCTGGTGTCTCTTAGAGCACGTCGACTCTAATCACGCATCGACATGTGCATGTTGGCTTCTGCCAGAGGCTCTGCTGACAGGCAAAGAGGCCTGTATGACACAGCATTGTTATTTCTAAAGCTGGTGTTGGTGTGGTTTAAAAATCCTTTGAGTTGTTGTCATTTAGAAAATAATGAAGTCCCTAAATTTAACCTTTTTCATCTGTTTTGTATATTTATATCAAAATGTATTTAAATCAAGTTTTACTGCAACCTCTGTTATTTGTTATTTGATCTGTCCACTTGCACCTTGTTGTGATTCATAGGAACCTGTCCATTTTTTAAAATACATTTTTCTTCCTATACAGAACAGCATTACGCTAAAAGGCTGCAAATAAATGTGGAGTGTTGATGTTTGTGTGCGTTGAGCTGTGGTCTAAAGACAAACATTGCTAATTAGGCAGAGGATAGCTGGTGAGGAGTTTGGTGTGCTGTGCCGTTTACTCAGGCAGAAGTCCTGTTATGACACTTAACACGACATCCTATTACCTCACATTAACTAAAGGTGTGAGTCACCCCAGCCGGGGAATCCTGGGTTAAAGAGGATGCTTGTGAGGAAAAACAACGTGGGGGGAGAAAGGGGCCCAACCCTGCACCCCTCAGTCCCCTCAGTCTGTCATCTTGTGTTATCACTCCATCCTTTCACCACCTGATTCACCTGACAGCTCAGTCCTCCAGGCGTGGCTGGACTCATGGCCTTAAGATCTCCCACTCTATAGTTCACTCAAGTCTACTGTGGTTCTCCAACTCACATTGCAGGTTTCTCTAATGTGTTTTGAGTTGGATGCTATGAGAAAAAAATAAAGTAAGTGCAAAATTTAAATAAAAGGTGAAAAATGGTGATCCACGTGGACCTACTCGTTATTTTTCTTCTAATCACTGGGTATAAATATATATTACACAGTCGCCACCTTCTGGACAGTGTGAGTTATAACTCTTTGTGGGGATTTTCTGTTGCAGAATGACGCGGTTTTTCAAGCTTTTTTTATTTTTAATTTTACAGAAAAATAATGAAGAGTCATATCTGGTTTGACATGCAGTAGAGTGTTACAGTAGAACAGATGAGGGGAAGAATGGATCTTCATATATATTTTATTTTATTTATTTTTATTCTCTTTTGCCCCTTTTGTTTTTATTTTATTCATTAATTTAGTTAGTTATTTACTTATTATTTTAGTAGTTACGGTTAATCAATGAATTTAATTTTTTAAATTTGTTTATTATGTTAATAACTGATTTTTATATAATAATTTTACCCAGAATTTAATTTAATTTTAGTTTTGTTTTGTTTGGCATCTTAATTTAACCGTTCTTCTACATTTTGACCACAAGATGGCGTAAGGACAAAAGATTTCCCCATCTGATAAATTTACGCAAAAACGAAGCTCTGATGTGTTTTAGTCATGTTTTAATTTCAGTAATAGATTTCATCCAAAATCTCGGTTAAACCAAATTATTTTTACTATCCTTGAGTCAGATTGTCGCTAAGATTTCTTGTAACTAAAGAGCGTTTGTAATACGTTGTATCCATACGGGTTGTATCCGTAAATAATATAGTCCACTCCGATTTTAAGGCTAGAAAGCTGTCTTTCGGTAAATATGCGGCACATTTATTTCTCTCCCCTGGTTCTGACCCGTTCCCGGAGGGAGCGCAGCGTGTCTTTAAGAGGCGTGTGCTCGGAGGAGGTGGAGTCGTGATCCACATTGTACAAGCAGCTGATGGGAGGGTGCTGCGTTCAGACAGGAGACAGGATCCATGGCAACAATCATGGCAGGTGGGAGCAAAAGAACATTTTTAGTAATCATCTGTTGTTTAAATTTATTTAAGTAACATTTGGCTCTGTTTGGGAACGCGGAGAAAGTTGAGTCGTGTCAGAAAGTAAAGATGCGCTGTTTGGTTTATTTTATTTGTGTTTCAGAGGCAGAGACCCGTCAGCGGCTGCTGCGCACCGTCAAAAAGGAGGTGGGTGTTTTCAGCTCAGCAGTTATCGAGTCGGAAAAACAAACATGTTGGTTCGTATGAAGCTCTGCAGTTCAGCCTGTGCTCGAAGAGGCTTGCCAGGTGATCCCTAACAAAGACTGGCTGGCACCGTGTCCTCTGTTTCCTGGTGATGATTACAGATGTGTGCCTGTGGTGCTCATCTGTACCTCAGCCAGAAAAACACCAGGAAACAAGCTGATAGTAAGGGAGAAAAAGTAGAATACTAATAATAGTTATTAAAGTCCAGTAACAGTTTATGGTTGGTTAATTTGTTAAGGTCTGTTTTCAGCATGAATGATGTAGTGCTGCACCTCACTAATTATTTGGGTGGAGAAGCAGCACGAAGGAAGCAGATTGTCTTTAGCCAGTGTTTGTTGTGTTTATGGCACAGCAAACCATCAGCCTTCTGCCAAACCATTTGGTGATTCTAGACTCAAACTGTGTGTGTGTGTGTGTGTGTGTGTGTGTGTGTGTGTGTGTGTGTGTGTGTGTGTGTGTGTGTGTGTGTGTGTGTAATGAGTTTTGTGTATATGAAAGCTTCCATAAATGTCACTGACATGATAATGACTGTTTAGACTGTTACATAAAGCCTGTGTTAATGAGGATGGTGCGGGGATGCAAAGCTCGACCTGCAGGAGCATCTGTTTGGAGGAAGGTGTTATTAGATTAGCTAATGTTTTTATGGTTCATAGTGTTAAGCCCTTTGTTCCACAAAATGAATGCCTTAGTAAGGTTATAGAGTTTCCTTAGATTATGATGAACGGTCGAGGTGATTGTGCCGCCAACACTCCCCTATACAGTCTTGAAGATAAGCAGGCACGCTACATTCAGCTCAGTAAGTATTAAAGTAAACTGCAGGTGAAATTCTAAAGTCCGAGAGCCAAATGTCCTACATGTCACCAGTCATGGAGGGGAAAGGTTGAAAATAGATAGTATCTATTGGCATGTTGGCTAAACCTTTACCTTGATGGTGGAAGCATGATGGAAGTGAACATGTTGTGAGATGTCCAAACTGATGGGCCGTGCCTTTGTGAAGAACCTCCTTTCATATAGATGCTGAAGGTAAACAAGAGTGGCCCCATTTTTTCCCCACTTTGCTCCTTTTTTTAAAACATGTATTAAATCTCAGCAGCTTCCTTAAAGTAATAACACCCTTTCTTTCACACATAGCAACCTTATTTAAATCAGCAGCAAGCTTCTGGGGTTGTATTTGCGTCCACCCAAACATGGGACTGGCAGGAAACTAAAACTCCCCAACAGGAAGTTGATTTATCGCAACAGAGACACGTTGAAATATTCACAGTAGAGCGATAACATTCTGACAGCTGAAATCTAAAACGAAAGCACATCCAGTGTATTGGAGATAGATGACAGGTGCATGTCTGTTAGCAGACTGCTGTGTGTTACCTTATTGTGTTTCCATTGTCCTGTAGTGGTGTATACTTTACAGTTAAGCGTTTTTGTTGCCCTTTGTTTGTACAGGGTAGGTTTTCTCAGTGTCATCCACGCCTTTCTAATATGACCCAAACCCTCCGAGTCTTGTTGGTTTTGGTCTCTAAAAGAATATTCAGATGAAGAGGGACAGTAACAGCTGTTTGATTGTTGCATGGAGACATTTTCAACCTTCATTTAATAAAAGTGTTTATGTTTTTTTTAACTTTCCTCTCTAATTACCTCATGCTCTACTGGGCTTTATTCCTTTAAATCATCACATCCTGAGTGTTGTGAAAGGAAGAGTGTAGAGGCGGTGGCCTGATTTGTT